TACTGGGTATACTGAGTCGACTATAAAATATACAGGGTATACTGAGTCGACTATAAAATATACTTGGTATACTGAGTCAAGCGTAGAATTATGCTGGTGTTTAATTATTCCCTTTAGTTCTTTTACCAATTTACTGTTAGCACTTATATAAAATTAAAAAAAAACATAACACAAACTAGGAACAAAGTAGAATAATGTTCAAGTATCTAAAATGGAAAACAGGTAAAGAGGAAAATATTGTACATAACGTTAATATCTCATTTTTACTATATGTAGTGCAGTTATAATATTTAGATATGTATTTACAATTTTGAAGTTATGATAGCATTAACTACCTTTTAACCTTCAGTAATATTTTCGAAAGTTTTGAATATATAAAGCAGTCGTTCCCAACCTTTTATGGCCCTCGCACCCTTCCCCTAAAAACTGTGCATTAGACATTTCCTCTTGGTGACATTTGGGGGAAAACGGACCTTGTATAGGCCTCTCCCGCACACCACTGGACCCTCATTTCGCACCCCTGATATAAAGCTTAGCAAATCAAAACTAACTGGCAATCATAAGCATAGGAACTCAAAATTTTAGAAGTAAATTTCTTATAATTCAATAATTCTAATAAATAATTGTATCCACTTTTTGATTATTGATTTTCTTTATTTTAAATAGGAGTCAACAACGTACCCGGAAGCTAAGCCTTATAAAACCATTAGTCCTTGCAGAAGTCCAGATATGAAAGCTCATGCCATATCACATCAGAATCTAGACCCAAGTGCCCCCAAAAAATCAACAAATTCCAATGGAGTGAAGAGACTAAAGGAAAGCCACGTATATATTTTCACGACTTCAGTGATTTCCGTATTCATTGTGCAGAAATTAGTCTTTTAGTGTTCCAGCATATTTGTTAGATTATAATTCCTCCTTTTATATGTATTCTAGCCATGCTATCGATTTCAATACCTTATAGAAAGTTCTGAGAAGTGGCAGACGGCAAAACCAGCCAAGCTGTTTCAAACTTTTCAATTAACACAATATATATTGTTTGATTAAAATAACAATTTTTAAAATTCGAAATATTTGTAAGGTTTAAACCAACCCAAAGTACAATGCATATAGAGGACAGACAGTGCCATTCTGTGTTGCATCAAGAATGTAGTGTGACTCAATATCGTAAATACGCGCGTTGGTGTGTGGTACATTTCATTCACCTCTTATCTGGATTGTGGTAGAATTGAAACAAATACAAATAAAACTGTTTTCTGGGAGTATTAAAAACAATTATATAACACTAAATGAATATCCTGAATAGTTTTTTCCAGAGTCGTCGCTACACACTATCACACGGGGACAGTATCCCGATTCTATTTGACAGTGCCCCGAATCCCGTTGATTTCCTAGAAAATTAAAAATAGAAAGCCATAATCGATATCATACTGAAACGCCGACACTTCCCGCGCCTATGGGCCAGAGTCCCGAATATTTTATGTAACTAGCGACACCTCTGGTTTCTTGTTTGTTTGTTTTTTACCATTTAAATTATTTAATTTCTGTCTAAAATTAAGCTTTGCATTGACTTCAAAATAGTTCCGTTAACTTAGGGTTTAAAGGGCAAAGGTATCATATACTGTCATACATCAAGTTTAATACATTATAGTTCAAGCCCTTCTAATTGTTTCGTTAAACTATTCATGCCTAAAACATTGTTCTGACTCTAAAAGCACCAACCAAAATGTTTTTGGAGTACGTGTGTCCACTAGTTTTAAAATTATGTTCTGCTTTCAGAGAAAATATTTAAATTTCGGTGATTCTAAAGTTTGTGAAAATCAAGATGTCGAAACAGCTTTGTATACAGTATACACCAAAATCTTTTTCAGTTACGAAGAAGATGCAGCCAGTTTGTCAATTATGTCTTCGTTATTTAACCTTGAAACAGTAGAATAGAAAACTGTTAATCACAAATTAGCATGTGATCCTCCAGGAATTATACTGTTATCAAAACTCCTCAGATAAGGATTTTGGGGAATCATCTTTGGCAATACACTTGAGTAACTGAAGTAATTGGAGTGTGAAAGAAAAACAAATATTAGATTTATTATCATATAATGTTGTGATTGTTAAATAGAATGAGTGAGAATCGAAAAACTACACCAGACATTTTATCAATTGCTCTGAATGAGGTTAAGGCTATTACATATTTTAGTTTATTCTGCAATTCGTGATTTCAGAGTTACCCTGTGATGTAACATCAAATAGAGATGTATGTTTTTGTGTGTAAAAATTGTAGTTTTTAACTACTATGTCAGCTTACAGGGAATTGTTCCTTACCGTTATGCAAACTTTACAATACATGTATCATATACTTAGTTTGATATATATTATATATGGAAAGTTTACTTTAAAGACATGTCTTTTTTATTTTCATAGTAAAATTAAATACTTTCTATGCCACTATTCATGCCTCGTGTTAAACTTTGAATAAATGAATTACTGAACGAAATTCTTGTATACTTTTTATTCTTTATCTTTATGTGACACTCGTAACATTGGACATTTGGCAAGTGTGTAAAAAATGTGTTTCTAATAGACATTAATGTGAACACAACGTAAATTATTCCCATATTAGTAGAACAGGTATAATTCATTCAAATGTAAAATTAATGACGAAACTTCAGTTATCTAAAAGGTGTGTTTGAGTCAGTGGTGCAGTTACGGGAGGAGCCCGAGCCAAAAGGGACCCCAAATCGTAACTACAATTATAGGAAATTAAATGTAAGGGTCCCAATTAACTTTATTCGGGGGGGGGGGTGTCCCGTCTTTTGTAGCTACACCACTGGTTGGAGTGCTTGATTTTCAGGGTTCTTACTAATTTGTTCCAATGGAAGTGTGCAAAAATTCAACTAAACTCTGCTGTGCTTCATTGAAATTTTGTTTTCTTCTCAATACATACAGATAAACACATTTATACATATTTGTATGACAAAAACCTGAGAAAGGGGAAGGAATCGGCTTGATTATACGGGTAAGAAACGTTTGTGAACAGTATTAACATGTTACGAGAATTACAAATGGATCATAACTTTGTATTAAGACTTGTGCCCCTGTGGGTCAGCGGTAAGTTTAAAACTTTAATACCCTAGGTTTGCTTCCCCCTGGTAGACTGATCGCAGATAGCCCATTATGTAGCTTTGCTCTAAAAGAAATGAACAAGTAATATAACTTGAAAATTCGAAACTTCTCGGTTTTTTTAATAATAAAAACAAACGTATCACCTTCGTGTTTTTCTGTAATTGAGAGTAAAAAAAACAATACAGTGCCGCATGCAACAAACAGATGGAAAGTTAATAGAAAAAACAATACAGTGTAGCATGTTACAAACAGATGGAAAGTTAATAGAAAAAACGATACAGTGTAGATTGCAACAAACAGATGGAAAGTTAATAGAAAAAACGATACAGTGCCGCATGTAACAAACAGATGAAAAGTTAATAGAAAAAACGATACAGTGTAACATGTTACAAACAGATGGAAAGTTAATAGAATAAAACGATACAGTGCCGCATGTAACAAACAGATGGAAAGTTAATAGAATAAAACGATACAGTGTAACATGTTACAAACAGATGGAAAGTTAATAGAAAAAACGATACAGTGTAGCATGTTACAAACAGATGGAAAGTTAATAGAATAAAAGATACAGTGTAGATTGTAACAAACAGATGGAAAGTTAATAGAAAAGACGATACAGTGCCGCATGTAACAAACAGATGGAAAGTTAATAGAAAAAACGATACAGTGTAGCATGTAACAAACAGATGGAAAATTAATAGAAAAAACGATACAGTGTAGCATGTAACAAACAGATGGAAAGTTAATAGAAAAAACGATACAGTGTAGCATGTAACAAACAGATGGAAAGTTAATAGAAAAAACGATACAGTGTAGCATGTAACAAACAGATGGAAAGTTAATAATGGCTGGAGACGGCTTGAATGGGTAATGAAGAAAAACTTTAATATAAGTTTAACATAACAGCAAATGTACAACGTTTCGACAAGGTTTTGTCATCATCAGGTACAAGTAATTTACACTTGTACAAACAGATGGAAAGTTAATAAAACAAAACGATACAGTGTGACATGTAACAAACAAAGAGAAAGTTGATAGAAAAAACGATAAAGTGTAGCATGTAACAAACAGATTGAAAGTTAATAGAAAAAAACGATACAGTGTAGCATGTCACAAACAGAGGGAAAGTTAATAGAAAAAAACGATAAAGTGTAGCATGTAACAAACAGATGGAAAGTTAACAGAAAAAACGATACAGTGTAGCATGAAGCAAACAGATGGAAAGTTAATAGAAAAAAACGATACAGTGTAGCATGTCACAAACAGAGGGAAAGTTAACAGAAAAAACGATACAGTGTAGCATGAAGCAAACAGATGGAAAGTTAATAAAACAAAACGATACAGTGTAGCATGTAACAAACACAGAGAAAAAATCAATAGAAAAAACGATAAAGTGTAGGATGTAACAAACACAGGGAAAGTCAATAGAACATTTTCATTTACTTGTTAAAAATTGAAGGTTGAAACATTTGGTTAAGAATGGAAAAATGGGTCATTTTAAATTACAAATATGTATAATTGAAAACAAAGTTTTATATGGTAATCACATTTGACTACGTTAGTTTGGTCTTGACATTTCATTTGTCATTGATAGCAGCTGATTGCGTGGTAGGTGCATGTTTAAAGAATAATGGCTGATCATATCCTCTAGAACAGTAGTTCCTGTTCGTCTTGGAACCACTTAGGCGTGGCATAATGCCCCGCAGACCATCTACTGGTCCTACACCAACTGTTCTGGTCTCGGTCGTGGCGTTTTGCATAAATAATTGCATTTTGGACCAACCCGCGGACCGCCTGGAGGATCCTCTCAGACCACACTTTGAGAATCTGTGCTCTAGACTCCAACTGAGATGTTGACTTTAATATATCAATTGAAAGCTTCTCTTTGAAGACTGGATTTCAATTAATAATTAGATAAACATAATAAAAAAAACACTTAGACTACTCATGGTTTTTAATTGAAAACATTATTACCGCAGCCAGACAGCTCTTTGATCTGTATTGATGTAAAACTTATTCCAAGTCATGTGTTTGGTATTATATTTCCATGTCTGTAAACCAACTATGTTTTTTTCTTTTGCATCAAAACTGACAACTAGCAAACCCAAAACTGAAGATATAAACAGATCCAGCCCAATGATTTCAAATCACTGCTACAAAAATTTAATTATTTATTCCTTTCACTTTGCCCCCAGTGGCACAGGGATATGTCTGCGGAATTACAACGCTAGAATCCGGGTTTCTATAGCCGTGGTTGGCAGACCACAGATAGCTCATTGTGTATCTTTGTGCTTAATTACAAACAAACCTTTCACTTTAGCCCTACAGTGGCTCAGCGGTAAGGCTAAAGGCTTATAATGCTAAAAACCGGGTTTCGATACCCGTGGTTGGGACAGCATAGGTAGCCCATCGTGTAGCCTTTTGCTTAACTACAAACAAACAATCATTTAAGAACACCAGTTAACAAAAATAATTAGCTGTGTTGTTTCTTGTAACCTTCGTAAACTTAAGGGTGCCCTCATTAAGTTATAAGGCAATATATAACCTACATGGAAAATAAATGCAATATGTGATCCTCTTCCGAACTGACGTTCTTCATCAATTCATTTGACATTTCAAGCCTGTATTAACAAGCATTGTTCACAGCTTGTGGAACAATGAATCAAAACAAATGTAGCCTTTTAAGTGAAGTTTGGTGGTTTGAAATACGTATTTTCTGCACGAATGTCGTAAGTGGACATTTTGGAACTACAATAAGGTTTGAAACTTTTGCAACTATTACATGTTGAACCTTCCCATTAGTAACCACATAAAACTATCTGTAGTACTTAACAAAACTTAACCCTAACGTTCATTCAACTTCTATGAGTAATAACACAACGTCGACATTACCAAACTCTACATCATACTTCTGAAATAGTCCACGTTTTAATTTTTGTTTAGCGAAAAGCTACACAATGGGCTATCTACACTCTGTCCACTGCGGGGAATCTCATCACGAATTTTAACGCTGTGAGTCCATAAACATATTCCTGACCCATTAGGAGAGCCACGTAATAATACTTTAACACGAGACGAATCGGTTGAACATATCTTGATCTTTAACTTTTGTTTCTGTTCCAGTGAATAAACCTAACACTATTAGAGTTTCAATTGCAACATATTTTGATTTTTTTGTATAGTTACTAAACAATTTTAGAAAAAAACAAACAAATAAAAACCTTGTTTAGTTCAGGAAAACATCAGTAACATTCAGTAATAATAATAAAACCAAAATGTTAAGCCGTGAAAACACCAACATTTCAAATCGATGAAAGTATGATAGAAAATACAGAACGTAAATAAAATCACAATTGTTGTCTTCCTAGATGATGTAAGCCTTCTTTCTTCCATCGTTACCACAAGCCTTGTTTTAATGATTAGCTGCTACATTATTTGTTTTGTGATTCCAGCAAACTTTAGACTTATATGTTGGAAAAAGCTACCCATAAGGGAGTTAGTTTGCTTACCACTAGAGTTCGGCTGGTGCGCTATAACATAATAATTACACCAAAAGAAAACTTCCATGTGTAAAGAGTGTTAAGTTCCCAAAGAAAGACTAACAGTCTCTTCTCCGTATCTTTTTTTCACGCTGTATATTTTGAATTCGGAGCTTTCCACTTGACAACAAACATTAACATTTTATACGGATGTAGAAACAATCCAAAGAAAGGATATTAAACATGCCATCACAAGCGATGCTTAATTGTATGAGCTGGGAAATTCCCCTATAATCTTACAAACCATGTGGTAGGCGTACAGAAATACCTCCACCAGTCACGTCACTAAGAGATAATACAATTAAGTGTGATTTACTCACGATTTTATTGTTATCCAACACTTAAGGTTACTAAGAAGGTCGTTTAGATAAAAGAATAATAAAAGTACAGCATCAATATGGTTGTTTGAAATGAGGCCTAATATCATTGTCAGCGTATTTTAATAAATGTATCCTTGAACAGATCTGTGTTAATTAAAAACATATTTATTCGCAAATTTAACAAGTATTTAAATAATTGTAAATTCTCTTAGTAACGGTCGTTCAATAACGTTTCTGCTATTGTTTACGTAACTGGAGAAATATTTCGCAAAACAAT